TTATATTAAATTGATTAACTTTTTTGTCTTATGTATTGTTTTCGTTTTTAATAAATACATCGCTGCAATTGCAGCAGCTATATATCGTCTTCGAACTTCACCTATAATCGCCACTGTACATCTATAATATTTTATATATCTCGACTATAACACTCCATTTTTATACTTATTGCAGTTTATACAAGAGGTTAAACGTGGTGAATAGAATATGGGCGACAGCGAACAGTGTTAACGCTACTTTGAACTATGCTGAAGTGGGGATAAAACGCTAGCTATTATTCGCTCCATGAAAAGGATACAGGTGATAGCGAACAGCTTTTAAACGCTGCTTTGAACAACGATGGAGTGGGGTAAAACGCCAGCTTTTATTCGCTGCGTGAAATCGCACCTTAATGCTTTCGAGGTTGCCGAAAGTGTGTGCGATTTGGATTTCTTCTGTTTGCGATATTGTAAAGACAGAAATTAATCGCCTAGTTTTCAGAAAATTTATATGATCAAGAGGAACCAAATTGTATCCTATAATCTGGTTCCTGATTTAGAGTCGGCGAGGAAGAAATGATTGAATTTCTAATGCCCTTTTTTGAGCTTCCAACCTTTGCGCAACTCGCGCCTTTTGTATTTTCCCTTCGCGTCGTCCTTTTGTCATCTAATAGTAGAAGTAATGTTATAATCCCATGAGGATAGGATAGGCAAACAAGAAATGTGATAAGAATGGTTTGATATGCGTACCGAACGCGCACCAGGGAAAATTATCCCAAGATGGATTATTTGAAAGGGAAATTAATAACTGATATGCGTAGTAAATATACGCGCATCGAGGGAAATTGTTGAAGATAGCATTAAATAGAGTTTGATAGAATTTGATAGGCGCAAAAGTACGCTCACCAGGGAAGATATTAAAGATAGATAAAGAAGAAAAATAGTTATAGACAAAGAATAGTTATAGATAAAGAAGAAAAATAGAAGTAGAAGAGAAAAATAGATTTTAATATGCGCAGTAAGGTATACGCTCACCAGAAGAACTTGTTAAAGATTGGATCTGATAAGCGCAAGAGTACGCTCATCAAGGACAGTATCAAGGATAAAAGGAGAATAAAATAAATGAAAAATTTATTACTGATATGTGCAATAAATATATACGCGCACCAGGGAGTGAGAATTAGGAGAGTGTAGATTTGATTGGCATGCGTTGCCCTAGGGTTGCCAGCCATTGTCCGCGTGGGTGGCGGACGTAAAGAATACCCCCAACGTATGGCCTGCGGTCGTAAAAGGCGACTAATAGGCTCCTAATGGCGCCTATGGCAGGGGAGCGTACCGGATCCCTTATGCCAGTATGGTACCAGTCTCTCTAGTAGATAGCGGCGCCCGAGAGTATCAGTGGGAGGCGAGCGCGCCCGGTTGTCCTTAGGGCAGCCGGTGCGGGCGAACCGACCTCACCGCGGGGCTGTCGGGTCTCTAATGCCTGTATGGCAACCGGCTTCCTGGGTGGGCAGCTGCGCCTGGGAGTAGCAAGATCCTCGGTGAATATTTCACCGGGGATCCACAGCAGGGGCAGGGCGGGCTCCTTAGGTTCCGTTGAACCAAACCGCCCTAGGGGGGCGGCCCGAAAAGCCGCCCCGGGTTGGGGGGCCGCCGTAATTCCCCCTATTAAAAATCATGATGAACAGCAAAAAAGGATCGACTTGCGGCGAGTCGGAGACGTCGCGCCGGCACGGGGGGGGGGCTATGGTCCTAGGCCCCCCCCTGTCGTCAACGGAAGATGGGCCGAAAGAAGCCGGTGCTTCAACGGCGGGCGCGCCGGCGGATATGGCGACCGCCGAGAGGAGAGGGGATATTGGGGAGAAGAGTAAGGATAGAGAGTGTGAAACGGGGAGAGCGAGAAGAAGGAAATTGGGAAAGGATGAGAACGATATCATGGAAGGAATAGAGGAAGAAGTAAACCAGAGATGGCCTGACCCCAAGAGCAGGGAGAAAAATCGGGACTTCCTGCTCACGCGACTCGGCTAAGTGAGTGAAAGCGCGGGGCACATCGAGGCTACGACAAATAAAAGCAAAAAAATGAGCAAAAGAGAAAAGGACAAAATTACACAAAGTATGAACGAAATGGTACGGTACTGTGAAGATATCGCCAGAATCTTCAGGAAAGAACAAAGTACTTGGAAGGATGGGTACAGGAAAGGGAAGAATGGGTGCGGAAAAGAGACGAAGAGATAAAAGAGAATGGGAAGAGGAAAGAGGAGCTGGAGAAAATGTTGAAGGAATGGAGGAATAAGGAACGAGGATGGGTTATTGAGAAAAGTGAGTGGGAAAAGGAAAGGACGGTTTGGATGAAAGAGAGGACAAGGATGGAGAATAGGATGCAGGAGTCAATGGATGTAGGGAAGGAAGGGGGGACTGGGCTGTGTCCCCCTTCCCAGAGGTGAGACCGGACGTGCGCGACCGGGCGACGTCTCCGCTGAGAGTGCGTAATGCCGGGGCGCCGGTGGCGGGGGCGGGGCCTGTCGTGCCCGCTGCGCCGGCTGCGGCTCCTCTGGCTGGATGTGGCTGGGTCGCGGCGAGTGGGGCGGGTAAAAAGAAAAGGAGGTGGGACCCCGGAAGAGGCGAAGTGAGAGTGCTGGACTCGGGGCGTTCGGTGGCGCCTAAAGTGCTGCCGGCTCCACCGATGACGGCGGTGGTATCAATCCGTCTGCGAGAAGGGGGGCCTTAAGTATGCGGAGGCCCTCCGTCGGGTACGAGGGCTCCCACTCGGGGATGTTAGGGTTCGGCCGGCATTTGTGAGGAGGGCTGCAGACGGCGGCTTCCTTCTAGGGCTGGCCGGTCCCGACAGGGAGGGAAGAGACCGGGGGGCTGACGACCTGGCCGACAAGATCAGGGTGTCGCTCCCCGGGGCCTCGGTCACGAGGCCCAAAAGGTATGGGGAGGTCCGGCTCGTCGGTATTGACGAGTCGGTCCTCCCCGAGGAGATGTTCGGGCTAAAAACACAAATATTTTCTACAAAACTATTTTTTGTTTCTCATCAGTTGCATATCCATTGCATAAACAAACAATACCTAATTAAATGATGATAAAATAAACGGTGTACATCATTCTGTGTCCAAATAAACAGCAAACAACTGAATCGATGTCCAAGTGAACGGTGTCCAAATAAACAGTGCGCATCCTTCTGTGTCCAAGTGGACAGTAGGCGATTGAACGGTGTCCAAATGAACGGTGTCCAATTGAACGGTGTCCAAGTGAACTGTGTCCAAATGAACGGTGTCCAAGTAAACAGTGTCCAAATGAACGGTGTCCAAGTGAACAGTGCGCATCCTTCTGTGTCCAAGTGAACGGACAAGCAATTCCACGGTATCCAAGTGAACGGTGTACAAATGAACAGCACGCATCGTTCTGTGTCCAAGTGAACAGTGGGCACTTGAACGGTGTCCAACTGAACGGTGTCCAAATGAACAGTGTGTAACTGAACGTCGTGCATTTTGTTTCGTGTCCAAAAACAACGGTGCCCAAAAGTTTTGTGTCCAAACGCACCGTGTCCAATTGAACCGTGTGTCAAGTGCCGTGTCCATTTGCACCGTGTCCATTTGCAACGTGTCCAATTGTACTGTGTCCAACTGAATGCCACTCCTATTCCCGAGGGTGAGAAACAATATCCCACCCTATACGGGACCCCCTTCCGATTGGTAGGAGGAGGAGCTCGGGGTGACGATGGAGAAGATGAGACCAGCCGCCAAAAGGCTCGGCGCCAAGAGAAAGGCGCCGGGCCCTAATGGCATCTTGGGCCGAATTTGGGCCTTGGCCTTGGCCGAGGAGGGAAGGGTGAAGTGCCGCCTTAGACGTCTCTTCACCCTCTTCCTCGAAGCTGGCCTGTTTCCGGCCTCGTGGAAAAGAGCCAGATTGGCCCTCTTACGCAAGGAGGGCAAGCTGGAGAACGCCCTTTCCGCATACAGACCTTTGTGTCTATTGGACGAGGCGGACAAAATGTTTGAGTGGATCATACAAGCCTGCCTCGTCCGGCATCTGTCCCTGAAGGGAGCGGTGCACTTGGACACGGTGCATTTGGACACAGCCAATTACAGCACCGTGTGATTAGAGACATTTGTAGGCTCCCTTGGAACAGCGACTTGTGATTGGACTGTGTCCTATTGCCCCGTGTCCAACTGATATATACCCGTCCCTGAATGGTCCCGCGCTGGACGATGCGCAGTATGGCTTCCGAGAGGGCTGATCGACCGTGGATGCTATTAAGCGCGTCAGGTCCCTCTCGGAGGGCATCGTGAGGGAGGGTGGGGGTGGCGTTGGCTATATCAATCGATATAACCAACGCCTTTAGTACCTTCCCCTGGGACTATGTAGAGACAGGAATGGCCCACTTCGGGTTCCCGCTCCTGCTCGTCCACATAATAAGGGACTATTTCCGGGATAGGCGTTTATAGTTCCGCAACAAAGCGGAGCTCCAATGCGGAAGGGGGGTGTATTGCGATGTTCCGCAGGGGTCTGTAATCGGCCCTATTCTGTGGAACACCGCACGCGACCAGGTTTTTGGAACTATCCTCCCCGCCGGCTGCCGCGTTGTCTGCTACACGGACGACATATTAATGGTGGCCGGGGGACAGAGCTGGAAACAGGCCAAGGACATGGGGCAACTGGCCCTCGACCAGGTAGTGCACTCCATCCAGAGAATGGGCCTTGAGGTGTCTTCCCCGAAAACGGAAGCGTTGTTCTTCTATGACGGGAGTAGGGGGAGACCACCTCGACTAACGCTCCGGATTGGCGGGATCTCCGTGAGGGTGGGCACAGAGTTGAAATACCTCGGGCTCACCCTGGATGGTGCTTGGGGGTTTAAAAAACATTTTGAGGTGCTAACCCCCAAGCTGGGCAGGATGGCAGGTGCGCTAGGCGCCCTCCTGCCCAACGTCGGCGGCCCGTAAAAGCGGGCTAGACGGCTGTTTGGGAACGTGGTCCACTCGGTGGCCTTATACGGAGCCCCGGTCTGGGCGGAAGAGATGGCCGGGTCACGGCGGATCCAACAAATGGTCCGCCTGGCCCAGAGGTTTATGGCCACTCGTCTCGCCCCGGCCTACAGGACCACGTCGCATGCGGCCGCCACGGCCCTGGCAGGGATCCCCCCGGTGGAGCTCCGCCGGGGAAACAACAACGGAATAGGATTTGCCAGGGCCATAGCCCTCGCTAGGGAGCAGGACCGTCAACGCCTCCTCCGCCGCTGGAAGATACAGCTGGAGGAGGCGACGGGCCGCTCCGGGAAGAGGGTCGCCGATGTCATCCAGCCCTGCCTACAGGAGTGGGTAGGCAGCGCACATGGAGATCTCACGTTCCGGACGATCCAGGTGCTCACCGGCCATGGCTGCTTCGGTGAGTACCTGCAAAGGGTCGTCCGGAAAAAGTGCACCAGCCACTGCCACCACTGCGGTGCGGCTGAGGATACGGCGGAGCACATGTTAGGCGAATACCCGGCGTGGGAGGGACGGCGCCGTGTCCTCACAAACGTGGTGGGAGCGGACCTCTCGCTCCCGGCTCTCATTAGGGCCATGTTAGGGGGAGGAGAAACCTAGTCAGCTGTTACCTCCTTCTGCGAAGAAGTTATGTCGCGGAAGGAGGAACAGGACAGGGCCAGACGGGGAGAATATTTGTGGGGGGTGGCGAATTCGCCGCACCCTCCGCCCTCGGCCGGCACACCAACTAGGTGTGCCGGCACCGGGAAAGAGGGCGCATGCCGGCGTGGCGGGAAGGGCTGTACACTTCCCTGGAGCTGCGTTGGCTGCGCCCGTCGGGCCGCCTCCTCTGTCACATCCCTGCGTGACGTACGCGAGCACGAAAAACTTTTTTCCTCTCATTCGTTTTCGGTTGCTCTGCTCACACCGTGGGAACAACAATTCAGTCATTTGTTTAGCTCTACGTCCCTCGGTTGCCGAGATATTAATTTGTTAATTAACGACTTTGTTTAATTCGAAAGCTTGCGCCGTGGGAACAACAATCCAGTTATTTGTTTAGCTCTAAGTCCCTCGGTTGCCGAGATATTAATTTGTTAATTAGTGACTTTGTTTAATTCAAAAGCTCACACCGTGGGAACAACAATTCAGTCATTTGTTTAGCTCCACGTCCCTCGGTTGCCGAGATATTAATTTGTTAATTAGCAACTTTGTCTAAATCAGAAGCTCACACCGTGGGAACAACAATTCAGTCATTTGTTTAGCTCCACGTCCCTCGGTTGCCGAGATATTAATTTGTTAATTAGCAACTTTGTCTAAATCAGAAGCTCACACCGTGGGAACAACAATTCAGTCATTTGTTTAGCTCCACGTCCCTCGGTTGCCGAGATATTAATTTGTTAATTAGCAACTTTGTCTAAATCAGAAGCTCACACCGTGGGAACAACAATTCAGTCATTTGTTTAGCTCCACGTCCCTCGGTTGCCGAGATATTAATTTGTTAATTAGCAACTTTGTCTAAATCAGAAGCTCACACCGTGGGAACAACAATTCAGTCATTTGTTTAGCTCCACGTCCCTCGGTTGCCGAGATATTAATTTGTTAATTAGCAACTTTGTCTAAATCAGAAGCTCACACCGTGGGAACAACAATTCAGTCATTTAGTTAACTCTAAGTCCCTTGGTTGCCGGAATATTAATTTGTTAATTTACAAATTCGTTTAGTTCGAAAGCTCACACCACGAAACAACAACGCAATCGTTGTTTACCTCTAAATTCACGGGTTCTTGCGGTATTTAACTGTAATATTGTTAAAATCCCAAGCACCAAATACTGGAGAGTTGAGGACCGCCATTTTGCAAATTACGATGTCGTTAATAGAGGAATAGAAGTGTTATTTAAACAAGGGAGCAAAGTGCTCCATTACTGCATAATCTACTAATATACAAGGACCATTAGTTATTAATTATAAGATAGATCAACTATATATAAGCTGTAAATAATTAATCGCACTAGTAATAAGTTAGTTAATAAGTTAGCAAATCTCCAATTGTTAACCGCTAAAGACCTGTATCCGTATACCGGGATCAACAAATGCCTCACTAAACAATGTATAACTAACAATAACAACATATTTGTTAATCCCCGGGTCGAGAGCAGCTAACACAACGTAGTTAGCAATTTTCGATAATTTATTTAATCGATTTATTGTAAAAATAACGAAAATCTGTTCCGCGATTCAAATCTCCCGCTTTGAACAAGCCTGGTTAAATATTTCGCTACCAGGGCTTCTTCCAGGTCCGCGCTATCTCTGTTCGGGGATGCCTTAAAGCCTCGCTGCTCGAGTCGTCTTCTTCCTGGTCCGCGCTAATACTATATATGCCAGCAAGCCGCATCAGTCGGGGCTACTCTGTCTCTGGTTACACTACTGCAATAGCAAATCATTATCATCGGATATACTACTGCATTAGACAGCTCAGCACTCTGTTCGTACTACTGCATTAGTCGGTTCAGTCCTCTGGCCGTACTACTGTAGCGGACGATTCAGTCTCTGATTTTTCTACTGTACCAGGCGACTTAGTTTCTGGCTATACCACTGGACTTACGATTTTTGCTTTCTACACGGA